ATAAATAATAAAATTAAATTATAATATTACTCTAAATATAAATATATAGATAAATACAATATAAATATAACCAATATAATTATCAGGGAGACGTTGTTAAACCAGTAAATGCTGGAAGCTGGGAGGGCGTACACTGGATGGGTGCTGTGTATTAGTATCCATCCTGGGCTCCTGGTGGGAGCAGGTCCCCGGGCTCGGAACGAGTGTAGGTGCCTCCCTGACGGCCAGGTCATGCTGGGCGGAGGCACCCAGAGCCAGGAAACCTGGTTTAAGGCGTTTCTGTTCCCAGAGTTAAATAAAAAGAAATCAGACAGCATGAAATTCACTCCATGAGGGGCAAGCACACACCTGGAATTCATCCACAATTACTGTGGGTTAAAAATGCAGGAAACCGCTCATCCAAGGCCAGGAAACCAAGGAATGACTGTTTTTCCTGTAATGCACAAATATAGTTAAGGGAGAATTAATCCCTTGGGCTTGAAGGGGTAATTTTTGATCAAAGTTAATTATGAAGCACTGAAAGTACCAAATGGCAGGTGGAATGTACTTGCAGCTTGGTTTTATTAGGGCAGTTCTACCTTCGCATGTACAGTACTGAACTGTCCAAATAGTCCAAGTGAGACCCATTGTAACAAAAAGCAATTTAAATACAGTGCTCAGCTGATGTAACAATACTGGGTTTGCAAAACCATAATTCTTATCAAATTAAGGTTTCTCTCAGTTGTGTTTCACAAGGCAGCAGAGACATTTTCAATAAGTACAAACACAAATAATATTTCTGTCTAAAACCCATTACATTAATGAAGATTAAAAGAAAAAAATTCGAGGAAGTGCAAAAAAATGAATGGTATGAAAGAGGGAGTAATTGGTGAAAATGTAAGCCATTTATAAAGACTGGTGCGTCACACTGAAACCCTGCTTAGTTTACAGCAAACACTTGGGGTTTCCTGGGAGGTTTCAGCAAGGGAAGAATGGTAAACGTAGCCTTGTGTCTAGGTGGTGTTATTCTCTGATTGGTTTACCAGGAAGAATGCAATTCTTTCCTCTGTTGTACTAGTATAATCCCAATAATTTTGATAGTCCTACCAGCTTAAAAGACAACAGACTTTTGCCTTGGAATGAGCTTTACTTTCCACATTGTAACAGATATAACTGTTTTTCGTATGACACAGATGGGTTGTGTTTATATGACTATCTCCACTG